GTCCCCTCCTCCCGCCGACTCCTGTCGCCCAGGCCAGCGTCCAGGGCTCACGGCCGCACTGTGTCTGTCTCGTGCAGATTCGCGACCCGAAGACCCTGCTCCCCGTGCCGGGGGTGATGACCGGCGACATAGGGAGGAAGCTCGGGCAGAACGGGCTGGACAATGGGTAGGTGCCGCCCCGCGGGTGGGCTCTCCCCGGCTCGGGTCAGCAGGCCGTGGGGCCGCCCCGCACCTGCTCCTGCCACTGTCCACGCTGCCCCTGTGCCGGCCTGGCAGGGTCAGTGGGAGCCTGCCCTGTGCGGCCCTACATGCCCCTGGAGCTCCCCGAGTTCCCGGCTGGGAGGAAGCAGGGTGGGGGCTGGGCCGTGGCCAAGCGGCTCCACGGCCTGCAGAGGCCACAGGGCGAAACCAGCGGGTGGCCCTGAGGCCCGGGGGCCCGCCATGGGGTCCCCGCCAGCCCTGGGCCGTCGGCCGCGCTGGTGCCATGGAGTCCCCGTGAGGCCCGCGGGGTCCCCACGTCCGCACGGCCTTGTTCCCGGCGGGGGGGGGGGTGTGGGAGGGTGGTGGTGGTGGTGGTGGACGGAGCTGGGGGCGGGCTGCCCGGCCGGCCAGGAGAACCGGGCCTCGGCTGGGTCCGGTCTGGGCCGGGAGCTGGCGCGGCTCCGTCTGTGCCTGGCGATGGCGGCCGGGACTCGTTCCCCTGGGTCGGAGGGCGCACTCAGCCGAGCCCCGCGGGGAGCCGGGGAGCAGGACCGCAGGCCTGAGCAGGGCCCCTCGACCCACCGCGGGCTGCCCGGCCGGCCAGGAGAACCGGGCCTCGGCTGGGTCCGGTCTGGGCCGGGAGCTGGCGCGGCTCCCTCTGCGCCTGGCAGATGGCGGCCGGGACTCGTTCCCCTGGGTCGGAGGGTGCACTCAGCCGAGCCCCGCGGGGAGCCGGGGAGCGGGACCGCAGGCCTGAGCAGGGCCCCTCGACCCACCCCGGTGCCGCGGGCCCTGGCGCCGCTCCGGGACGGCCGGCAGAGGGCGCTCGGGGACCGGGTCAGCTGGGGGCTCCCGCCACCCCATGGTTACAAGGAGCCGGGTTTGTGTGTGCAAGAGTCGGTCTAAAAAAACAAAACGCAGCAACTCGCAGGGTCCATCCGGTCACTTCGCAGGAATTCCTGCGCGCACGGTGCTTCTGGGAACCAGGGCAAAGGTCAGTCGCGTGACCTGGGCGGCCCAGGGCCAAAGCCAGCCCCGAGGTCCCCTCCCGCGAGGGCCGGGCGGGTCGTCTGCCCAGCGCAGGGCCGGAGGCCCAGGCAGTGGCTGCAGCCAGGGAGAAGCTGGAGGT